CGCCGCGCAGAGGGGAAGGGGCCAATGCTGCCCCATGTATGTGCGGCCATGACCCCCCGCTGCCTCGTCCCTGAGTTTGCGGCCAGCGCGCGCTACGCGGCTTCTCATCGCTCCTCTCTCCTCCTTTGTGCTAGATAGGGATTGTGGTTTCCAGAGGCTTCATTCCCATCCCGGATGTCTCGCGGCTGGGGCCGAGCCCCTGCCCTGCTCGCTCGGGTCCGACGGGGTTTCCATCGCATCTTAGCGCCGCTGCCTCCGGCCCCGAGGAGAAGGAGGTGAATTCCCGACGTTTTCTCGGCCCAAAGCCCCGCCGTTCCCGCGTGCTTGGAGCACAATTGCAGAACCGAGGCCGAGCCTCGCGCGGAGCGATTGCGACCGCTGGCTCCTGATGGCCAGAGGTGCCTGCGAGGTGCAGGGCCACAGCAAGCCGAGTGGTGCCGAGCGGTGCCGAGCTCGGCCCGCGCCGCTCCTGGGCGGTCGGTGCTGCCTTATTTATTTATTTCCCTTCTCGCCTCTCCCCCTTGGCTCGGTGCTGCTGCTCAATCGCTGCCCATTGTTCGGGAGCTAATTACCCCTTAATGAGGCGCCTCGCTCAAAAGCCCAGCGGGCACCATGGGGGGCGAGAGCCGCTGCGGCCTTCGGGCCCACGGGTGCAAAACCTGAACGCAACGGGCAAAACCGGGACAAAACCAGCGCGCACAGGGAAAAACCCACGGATAAGGGGCAAAACTGGGGCAAAACCTGCGTGCAAGGGGCAGAACTGCTTCTCCCAGGGCCTCTGTGCCTTGGCTGGGGCTGGTGCCTGGGGTACCCGCTCCGCTCGCCTTGTCGCGCCGCGTCCCGACAGGGTCCAGGCCGCTTCCACAGTCGGTCCCGGTTCTCTCTGTGCCTTAGACCTTCTCTGGTTCCCGGCTTTCTGCCTTTCCTGGTATTTTTTTTCCCCTGGCCTCATTTTGCGTTTTTTATTTTTCGCATTTTGGAGGTTTTCTTTGTTTGGTGGTTGTTTCTTTGCGGCGCGATGGGCGCAGGCCGTGTGCGGGGTACAAGCGCCCGTGCTCCCGCACCCGGTTCCCTCGTCCCTCGGTGCAAACCGGAGCCCACGGTGGCCGGAGCCGGCGGATGCTCCGGAGCGTCCTCCTTGGAGCACAGTGTTACGGTGGCCTTGGAATTTAAACCTTTGCTCCCTTCTTCCTAAGGGAACCCAAGAACCTGCCTTTCTCTGAGCGCCTTCCCCACGCAGCCCTGAAACCCCCTCGAGAATTAAAGTTTTTTTTTGTTTGTTTCAGATCTTTTGCACAAAACATAAACCTCTCCTGATTTCATTTCCCAGGCAGGCGGGTGCTCCCGCCTCCTGTTACTGCGGGATTTGGCAAAAGGGCAAATAAATTGCAAGGGAGGATTGTAACAACTGGAGATGGAAAAGACCTATTAGATCACCTGGGCTGTTCCCGCTTCTGATGCCTTCGAATTGTCTCCTCTGTATATTTTATTAGCGTGTCATTCTGCCTAATTTCAGTGGAAATATTTGCTGTTTCCCCTGATATATCTGAAACCAAATTTTGTAGGATTTTTTTCCCGCAGAAGAGGAGCAATTATTTGTATCGGTTTATTTTCTCCGTAGCATTACACGGAGAGCAAAACTCTCCCATGTGCTGGGAAACAGATAAAGTGTTTAGACAGCAAATACAAATATTTCTGAGCACTCAGCCTGGCTACAGCTATTTCTCCCTGTCCTCCAGCAGGATTTCTCACTGCGTCTTCTAGTGGGTTTTTATTTAGGCTGGTTTGATTTTTTTTTTCTTTTAAAAAGCCCTATTTACATTTGCAATGAAATAAAATCAGCCAAGCTTGACCCCGTCGAGAACCTGAAAAATCCCAATTCTTCCTTTTTTCCCAATCCTGTTTCTGCCGAGGAAAAAGCTCCCAACCCTCCTGCCCTGCGCCAAATCCGCCCGCCGGGGGATTATTCCGGAGCTGGAGCAGCCGCGCCGCAGAGCCTTCCCAGAGGGGTTTTTCCCAGCACGTGGCCCCCAGTCTCCATCCTGCGCTCGAATCCCAGCCCGGCTGCTGCTGCCGCTTGCTGGGGTTTTGCATTCGGCAGCCAAAAATTAGTGGGGTTGCTTTATTTTTGCTTCATTTTTTTTTTGCTTTATTTCTATTTTTTCCTCCTTCCCCTGCACTGATGCTGCCCAGGGTTTTGCAGTGACCCTCGTTGTGCGTCCGTGGCCGTCCCCATTCCCTGACCTGTGAAATTCCCAGGTCCCCCGGAGCGCTGCTGCCCTGTCCCGTGGTGCACAGGCTGCAATGGCCACTGTTCCCTCGGGAAGCGCCGGTGCCTCGGGAAGCTCCGGTGCATGGGGACGCTCCGGTGCATGGGGACGCAGCGCGTCGCGCACGAGGAGCTCGCGCCTGCCAAACAGCCGGGCGCTGGGGAAGCTGTTTCCCAGCCAGCTCGATAATCCCAATTATTATCTGCTTTCTAGATCAGGATTCTTATTAAACTTGGCACCGCTGGATTTGCCGTTCCAGCCGCCTGCCTCAGCAAAGGGCTTGGAACGGATTTGTCTCCCATGGATTCAGGAAGGAAATTGAGTGGAAAAAGCCGGGGCAGCGCCCGGCAGGAGCGCACCGGGAATGCGCCGCAAACCAGCCGGGCTTTGGGACGGAGAG